TGGTTTGTTATCAACCCTGACCACCCTAATGGTTGTCTTTGAATATCAGTCAGCTCATAGATAGTAAATCCATCTCGAGTTCAAAGAAGTAAATGACGAGAGGCAATAACTGAAACTTGTGTCAAACTGATCATGTGATCATATGGAAGAAAGAGAAGATCCGCCTGATTGACATCATTATGTGTTCTGGATACTGAACCATCCACGTTCAATTTTTCTTGGTAGTGGTAGGTAAATTTACCGCAACACTTGTTTAGCCAGCCAAGCAGCCCTATGAGTAACCTCTGTTTCACTTCGTACTGGCTGACTCTGCACAAACACCAACTACGTATTTCCAAACTCAGTTTGTGAATTGATCAGTGTTCCTGCATAATCAGGTAAAACTCAGCTGTCGTTAAGTAGTATTATAAGAAGGCTTAAATGAGATCGGTTGATAATCAGCTTTGTTTAGATGTTTCACAAGACTTTCAAAAAGCACATGGGTGGAATAATCAGCACTATCGATAACCTTTCAACCATTGATGAAGCATCTAGCATTGACGAATTGAATACAATCAAAACATATCTTACAGTACGCGACAATGTGATGCCCGTGCACAAAGTCAATTATACACATTTTCATGTCGTGAGCATAACACAGACTTGATTTGTTTGACTCCGCGATACGCAGATGTACATGACTTGATCGTGACAACTGCAATGTGTTGATAATATTTTCTGGCATTGACGCATATGGTCCTGGATATATTCATTGGACTTGGTGTGCCATATACCATTCAATGAATGAATATCGTGATATGTTTGCGCGGATTACAAAGGATCCATATTGTTTTCTCACCATTGAGCTCACTGAAAATATGCAGAGGTATGTATCGATCTTGTTGGACATGAATGAGTCTCATACATCATTTTAACATTAAAAAAACAATTTATGACATATCTGCCAAGATGTCATCAAATCCTTTGGGAAGCGACACAGTTAAGCTGCTTGTGAATTGATTTGGAATGTTATAGAAGGTCGTCAAACGTCAAAGATATGTTACAGTTGCAAGAGATTGTACAAGAAGATTTCACAGCCGGCTTTAAACAAACACTTACACCACTAATAAGACTCATAAAGGAAATTGTTGAAAGTGCGAAGAGTTACATAAAAGAAATTGTGCGGAAAACAAAACTAAAGCAAAGTCCTGCTGCGTTCACACCAGCGCTGTAACTAAACCAAGGGGAAATGACTATATGACCCTAACGACCTTGTTAATCGACGCATCCGAAGTTATAAATAATTTGTCAGCTACTGGCTACAAATGGTCTCATGGTGAGGGGCATATTTTGCCTGCAGATCACGAACTTGTTGAACATATTAATGATACAAACAACAAACGAAATTCGTACAACAATGGCGAATTCTGAAACAACTGAGTGTGTGTTTTAGGCAAACTATTTGCTGTAATGCAACATTTTACTGTTAATACAACCTAGAGTGTAAATTATTTGATTACAATCTGATCAACTAAACCAGAATTCAGTGTGATATTTTCTGCACCTGTTACTGCCGAATAATCACGCACACTAGAGATTGCACTTAGGTCAATGCGCGTTTATTACTAATATCCGATCTCAACCGTTAAATGGTGTGCCAACGAATAAATCATTTGTATTTTTTCAGAGAGCCGTGACACCTGGAATACTAGCGAACTCTCTATGCCTATTACATAGAATCGACAAACGAACAAACTCGACGAAGAATCAATTTAGTGACCGGAAAAGACTCTAAAACTTTTATATGTGACAATTAGTCTACACTCAGTTCTGTCATTGCAATAGAATCTCAACAACATGCAAGAACATTGCACGGTCGTCAATAAAATCAAATTGGGTTGCCCTGAAAAGCATTTGAGGTAACAAATGATTTTTTACCTGTGGTATATTATGTCGCTCCTGACAAAGAAACAATTATCTCAACAACGCAGATTAATTGAACTTGTAATGCTGTCAATGGCAGTCACTGGTAAGTCTGAACCGGCAGGCATAGCTGGTGAGGCCTATATACTGTTTGTGTTTTCACCAATTGTTGAACCATGTAATTTAATATCGATTAAGCCCGCAACACCTGCATGTCTTTCGCATAATAATATTCGTTTGACTCATATTCGTTCTACTCTTACGGATTAAGACGGGATTGTTGTTGATCTGCGTGATGTAATATTGACGATACAACTGTGCATTAGAGATCAGTCTGACATGTAATATATAATGACATTTGTACTGGACATGTGACACCCATGTGCGTGCTTAATGTAAAAAAAAATCATTTTAAGCTATAGATTATAAAACTGGCATCGATGAAATTGTTCTCCGAGTATTTAAGGGCGCATCATAGGTGATCAGTGCTCGGAACCAATCCGACAGGCAGCTCAATCGATTCGAGATCGACTGCGGAGAATAGTGACTAAACACCAGAGGTTTCGGATACACTTCCGTCGACAGAAATTATGCCAGCTGCGGTTGGTAGCATCAATAATGAAGTTGAAAACAAACGAAATAAAAAATAGTGCAAGGGTCACATTGAAACTTCCTTCAGCAAATCAGTCAGTAATGTAACCGTATGGTTGTCCCAATAATAACTCGCTCATCTTAATGCTGTCAGGGGTAACTCAAAAGTAAAAGATTTGGAAAATATCCATTCCTTGTGGACGATTCCACAGTTGTTTGCAGCATTGACTTCAAAAGTTGCAAAATCTGCGGCGTTGGTGCTGTCTAAATTGTATCATGACTGTGACGAAATCTAAACATCGTTTTAATTTTCACTCGTATTGACTTGCAACACCAGTTGAAGTTGTTAATTGTTTAACTCGGGGTGCTAGCGCCCGTCGACGACAACCGTAGATGGTACCATATGCTGCAATCTTGTTGAAGCGATACGTGCTCTGGAGAGTTCAACAACCCGGAATAAACTTATTAATTTCAGATTTCATTACGTTGATATCATACAAAATATGTATTAACATTTAAGAACGATATTCAGTTCGACGACGAGATGCTACCGTGGATATGAACAGATCTGCAATACTGCGTAATGTACCCCGACAGACGTCTTTTACAATCATCATTATCGGCGAAGAAAGGTAAAACACAAATGGAAGCATTTCATAACTATGTATATGGTTATTTAACTGTCTCTGGCGTTTCAGTTTAATATTAGATTTATTTTATACGTAATGGATTTTGACCGCAGTGATGATGTTGCGCAATTTATCTACTGAGGATTGGGTGTTGGACAATCTGACAGCGGATGCTAACATTGATGACGAGTTTGTCACACCGTCTCTAAAAATATCTGAGTCAAAACAGCGTTAATAGGTCCTTGTACACACAACACTATATTCATGTACATCATCAAACGCAAACTGATGGTTTGATATGGCAACTCGAGGTCAGCTGGGTTTTAGACCATCATCCCGTGAAAACCTTTAATCTCTAGCAAAAAGACTCGGAGAAGTGTTTCTATTATGATGAGTGGATTCCCCAATGTATCCACCTCATTAATGTTCACTTTTAATTTCGTTAAACCATCATTGACTCGTTTAGTTTCTCTCTTGTATTAACAATGATGGTAATATTTATTTGATTTATCAATGGAATCTTTATACATGAACAGAGGACGCTAATAAATGGACATTTTAACACTTTACATATGGCTGTTCGCAAATTTTACAAGCAGGGAATCAGTGTGAATATGGAGCAGTCGAAAAGGGGTAGTCAAGGGTGAGACACACAAACACACACACACACACGTGCACACGCACACTTAGCCTTACAGAATGGTAAGAAAAGAAGTACCGCACAAACCCAGACCGCCACTTCTATTATAAATACACAGATCACAGATCCATAATATGTCCTTTGTTATACAAATTACTACAATTAATTAGCATTGATCCTGATCTGCAGGCGCATTTGAAAACGGCAGATCTTGGTGTTTAACTTTTGGACCTTTATCAAGAGATATAAATGAGCATATACCGAGTTCAGAAATTTAAACTCTTAAGGTCAAAACAACATATCAGCAACCTTATACACAACCAGGAATATTTTTTACATGTTTTGATAACATAATCATTTATTTAGAGCAGCATTAGCTATTATATCAGCGTTTGACATACAATTCAATGGAAACATGTACAGTGGAATTTGGATGTTGATACAATTCCAAATTCAGGAAAACACTCCTTAGCTTATATCAGAATTAGGAGTGTACTATGTTCAAATTCTTTTCTTACGACAAAAACGGGAATATTGTTCATTTATTTTTTACCTAAGTTATAAACAAATCTGAACAAGATAAATGCAGCATATTGCATTACTCAAGTAAATCAATTTTGTTGGGTAACCTTGGCTGGCATAATCTTGATGAGAGGCAGTTTAGTTCTGATTTATAAAGAAGGATATAGTCGTTTGGCAATAACCGATGTGGAAATGTATATAATTCTCTCTCTCTCTCTCTCTCTCTCTCTCTCTCTCTCTCTCTCTCTCTCTCTCTCTCTCTCTCTCTCTCTCTCTCTCTCTCTCTCTCTCTCTCTCTCTCTCATTTTGTCATCATATCAATGCATCATGTGATTGTGTCCTCACTTCTCTACCAAAGCAGATTTGTTGATAATCAAAGCGCCATCTATATTCCCAATTACGTCGCACTAAACAAGATAAAAATTATCTTTAACCCACATCATATATATCTTGCTTTACAGATAAGTAGTTAATGTGTATGTGTGTGATTAAGATTTTTAACGTAGCTTTAACAATGATTCAGTCATATCGCTACGATGTCTGCAGTGTGGCAGTTTACAGTGATGTCTAGCACTGGGGAATCATACCGCAGACATGTATGATGTCCAACTTAGTCACATTATCTTGACACCAGGCCGATCAGCCCTAAAACTAACCTCTTAATGCTGAGCGCAAAGCGAGGCAGCTGTTAGTACCATTTTTGTAAGTCTTTGGTATGACTCGGCCGGGGATTGGACCTACGACCTCCCGCATCCTAGGCAGACGCTCTAACCACTAGGCCATCGGAGCGTGGAACTGTAGGGTTAATTGGATTTATATATGGAAAAATGGCGGAAACATTTATAGTGTTAAAATGTATAGGTTCAAATAATTTATAGATTCAAATGGGTTTATATAAGGAAAAATACTGAATAAAATAGCATGGTCAAATGGGTGACATCACGGCACCGGACAATAGGGTAAAAAGAGCACCAGTGTTGCAAGTGGCTGATATCAGTTGGGTGAGCACTTAGTAACAGTGTTCAAGTTGAGCTCAATACACGCTACTGTAGGTAGGTACATGAAATGTTTCAATAGACAAACAAAACAGACATGCACAAACAAAAAAATATATATTCAGCAAGTACATCGGCTCAAAATATTCTAGCCTCAAACGGAAAATAAACAGAGACACTATAGACGCAAACGTGAATACAAACAAACAAATCAACAAATACTTATACAACACAAAGACACAAATATGGTGGGTAACAGTAAAAAGCATATATTTTCCACGTAAGCTGGTGGACCTGAAAGAGCCCTGTAAGGTTCTTCTTTTGTGGAAAATTCATATGTAGAAACTCTGGCATATATTGATATCCTCAACTTGTTGGACAATCCTATGTAAAAATCTAGTATATATTTGCAGCCTCAAAACGTTGCAGGTTTTATAAGGAAAAAATTATCATACACATGCACAAGCTCACACATAATACACATACACACACACTATCCAAACACCTAAACTCATCATTCTATGGTGTCAATGTCTGCGTGTGTGATTATTTATCTAAAATTAAAAAATCATGACAAAACAAAGATGGATGAACAGAATGAAACATTTTTCCAATTTGCAAGTATAAAACTCGTACAAAAAGAAAAACATCCTTTCCATTTCAATTCTGACTAAACCATTATCCATAGGATAGAGACAGGTGAAAGAGTATATATTGACACAATGTCAATTTAGAAAATAACAGACACCATCCTTTTAAAAATCAAGACCACGAGACACTTAAGGTTTCTTTTCGGTATGCTTTCTTTGTACACGTTATAATGAAATTTCTCATCACATCAAGCATGACACAATGAACCAAATACTCCATTTTTCCATTTCCATCTCTTCACTGGCATAAATTATTCCTCATCGCCTCGTTTTTCTTTTTCTTCTCTGAACCACTCTCCTCTTTCTCGTCTTGTCTCTCCTCTTTTCTCTTAGGACACTACGACGCCCATTGTCATTTCTCCTGATAACGATGACATGTATGTTGGCGTTTGTCTTTGGAGACAAATAACTATATGCCTTAAAGATATAGCAAACGTTATCAACACTTATAAACTTTCGTATGACTCTCATCAAATCATTACTCAAACGATATGTTTGTAAGCGAAAACTAACACACACACACACACACTCAAGCACGCACGCACACACAAGTGTTGCATTGGGTGATAGTAGAACTGGTAGTACCTGCATCTGGATAGACTAATGTTTTGAGTGATGGGTAGACAGAGAAATATCGCTACATTGCACTGGGAGAAAGAAAGAATAGTACAAGACAGAAACGTTGGACACCATATTAAGATAAGATAAGATAAGAATTCTTTATTTCAGACTGCATAGTCCATACAACAAAATTAAAATAAGGATATAGAGTAAAACATTGTAAACATAAAAGAACATATATATCATATGTACAAGTATTAAGATACATTTACAACAATTATTTGCGCCCAGCATTGTTAAAAAATGAAGTTAAGTGACACATTTAAATAGTAATTTGTTCCATCTACTAACAATATGAGAATTTAAATGAATGTCATAGTTCCAAAGTGATTTCAATATACAGTTCTCACTATTATATAGCCTTGTTATCATTGAATATACATACTTTCTCATTACTTCCTCAAAACTGAATACATTATAATTTACAAACATGTTGGAGGCACTGTTCCATCTAGTAAGACCTAATAGAAATCGAAGACTATTATTATAACCAATCACTAGTTTTCTTTTGACATTTTCACTAAAGTTTATCCACAGTGGAACACAATACATAATGCAGCAATAAGGTTTGAATAATCTAATTTTGATTCTCAATGAACAAAGCTTAAATTTGCGTAGAAGCATGTTCGTTTGAGTACACAAAAATCAATAATGTCTCATCATATCTTCATTATCTGACTGATTGGATTTCAAAATATGGCCCAAATACATATAACTGTCGACATACGTAAGAGCATTGCCGTTAAGATGTACAGAGGGATGTGATGGTAATTTAAAAGAAGTTGGCTGAAAGACCATGCATACTGATTTTTGTGTATTATAGATATCATTTTCTAATGCATATTGTTCACATATCTTCAATAATTTTCTTAAACCTGCAACAGACGGACTTATCAGTGACATATCATCAGCAAAGCTAAAATTGTTAAGAAATAGCTCATTTGGTGGTAGACCTAACCCTACGTTACAATTGCCCAATATACGATTTAACTCGTCAATGTAAATATTAAATAACATAGGGGAAAAATGCCTCCATGCCTCACCCCATTGGTTACATGGAAAGCGCTGGATATTACACTTCCCCATCGCACGTAATACAACTGTTTGCCATACCAGTTGACTGAAGTATGAACAATGTATACAGGAATTTTAATTTTCAGCAACTTTTTAAAGAGTGTCAAATGATTTACCCTATCAAATGCCTTACTAGCGTCTAAAGAGCATGCAAATACTGGGCCGCCATGTTCCACATAATATCTGGCGGTTTAATTAAAGGCATAAAGACATAAATCTGTAGAATGCTGCTTTTTAAATCAAAACTTATTATCGGAGATTATGACTTCGCATCTTTGTAGTATGATGCATTCGAAAAATTTTGAGATAATAGTCGTAAGAGCTATAGGTCTGTAGTTATTTTTGTCCGCTAGATTACCTAATTTGCTTTTTAGTAGCGGTATAATTGTAACTTTTGGGAAATCATCTGGTACAAAGTTATGCACAATTACAATTAAATAAAACCATTCATAGCCCATGAAGTCTATTATCTGAACATTTAAAATGTTCCACATATAAAAAATCTGAACCTGGACATTTACCACCTTTTTGTCTTGTTATTGTATTTTGGATCTCAGATAATGTGATTACCTCAATATGAGAAGAAGGGGTATTCAATGCTGAAGTAACAGGCTTCTTATTCGATTCGTTTTTGACACTATTGAGTAAATTTTAAAAATGATTTTTCCACATGTTGCATATATTATTTTGACCATGGTACCCATCAATGCAGATTGGTAGTTTATTGGAAGTTGTCGTAATACTTTGTTTAACTTGCTTCCAGAATTCACGTTGGTCGACATTTTCAAAATTTTGTGCTAGTGAGTCTGCTCTATGTTTTACTTCGTCATTCTTGCATAACCTAAGAGCATACTTAAATTGTGCTCTTGTTTGGCGCATTCGGTTACTTAATTGTCCATAACGAGGTTTACCGTTATCACGTCAAATTAGATAAGCATTTCATGCAAAGTCGTGTAGTTCTATGACACAGTCATTCCAGCCTGGTATAACCCGGTGGCCACGTTTGGATTTTCTAGTCAATGTATTACTGGATTTCGATAGAGCTTTTACTACATCAGCGTATAGCTCATTTATTTGTTTCATATGTAACTGATTAGTGCATCCATGGTCATTACAGATGACAACACCACGTGGGATCTCAATCTTGTATAATAAAAGTGCAGATGTCTGAGTATAATTCTTTTTTTCGTCAAAAGTAAGGTCTGACAAATTAATGTTGTATTTCAAGTTTGAGAGTTCATTGTGGCAAGAATCCAATCTAGGAAGTATATCAGTCTTGATAGTCATTAAAATGGGGCGATGGTCAGACCCTACTAGGGTGTGTATTTTTCTCATATCACTTATAGTAGAATGAGCAGATTGTGTAGAGACGCAATGAACCAACCAATACTCCGTATTTATTGTGTGAATCACTGATGTAAGTAAAAGGTTTTGTGTTGTCATGTATTAGTTTTAAGTCCGATATGATATTAACCATATTCATCACAGAATAGGCGAAGTTTATCTCCAAAGGGAGTGGATTTGAGCGTATTAGCATCCCAATCTCCAACTACATAAGCATTTATTGTGTTAGCATTTTCTACAATATAATTAATTTTGCCCAAATAATCTACAAATTCCCCAATATTTTCCGCTAGATCACATGGTAAATAAATATTGACAAAAAGCAGGGACGAGTCCCTTGTATTGATAGTAATACCTATTAATATGGGATCATCGAAGTGTTGTACTTGTATAATACTTGCAAGAGATCTACGGTATAGTACCCCGACACCTCTGTAAGGTCTGCCTGTATGAATATATTTAAAAGATTCTATCGGCGATACCCCTGATCCATAGAACTAGTCATGAACGGAGGAGAGGCAGTCTAACTCACTGTCGAGAAGCCACAATTCTTGTAAGAAGCAAATATAGGAAATATCACATAAATTTCTTACATTTTGTATATTTCTTGTTAAAGAACGACAGTTGTAAAAAGAAATACGTAAAGTGTCCATTATGTATGTTTGAGTCCTAATTGTGGATATCAACTCCGACTTTGATATATTAGTTATGTTCTGTATATTGTAATATTATAAGACAACAATAATTAAGTTTCTTGAGACAACCATACATTATATGTGTTAAATGGTCAATGTTTTTATTCATTCAGCAATGTTATAAAGGTAGTGTTATGTTTATTGTCGACTGACTGCAACTAGCGTTTGTTGAATATCCCAAAGTTTAGAGAAGTCATGTTTGGCAAAGTGTCCATAAACCAAAGACGGGAAAAAAACCTTACCTAAACAAAGTTGAGTGCACACTTAACAAACAATGAGATCAATGGGACGAATATGGTTACATATTTCTGAACGAATGTATTGGCTTTAGGTAAATGTTTACTGCAGGGCGGGTAATACAGTGAAGTTATACTCGCGTTATTGTCGAGAAAAACATGTAATTGTTGCGT